TAAATCATCATATATTTATACACAGAATGCCCAAAGTTGTTCCATGAATAGGGTACATAGGTAGGTATTACCGTGAAAAGAGGCTATGGTAGGCTTTTAATGCATAAAAGCAAGCAAGGTGCTTTACAAACCACTATGGTAAAAAGCAAAAGCATACCTACACAGTTTATTGGTATGAGTAGAAAATAATCTTGAACGATAAATGTCAAATGGTGACAGTGATTTCCTTGGACAGAAGGATGAGGGGGAGAAGAGAGAGTAAGGATGTTCACTTTTACTGATGTATTTCCCCCAGGGTTTGAATACCTTTACAATAGTTTCAGATTTTTAAAAAAGCAGTAATGACAATTTTCAAAGTGAGGGTGTCATTGTTGCTAGGAAACCTTCCATTCTACCCTCTGCACACCCCTCATCCTCTCTGCAGGCTTGCAGTACATGTTCCAGGTGGTTCCTGCAGCTCCCCGCCTAGTGTCTCTCCCTCTTGGATGGGGGTCTCTGGGCGACAAGCAGCTAGAACACTTAACATTTCCTTCGTAGACTCCATACCAGGCCCTGAGCATTTGGCCGTGTCACCACACAATCGGGTGATGCCAGATGCTCCCATCAGCGCACTATGGATGAGCAGACCAAGGCAAGGCATGTGCCTCCACACCTAGGTAGCCCCAGCTACGAGGCCATGCCAGGTGCACGAAAGGGTCCACCTTTGTTGAAGTTACCAAATGAGAAGAAGGCAACAAGCTGGTCCCTTGTTTTGCTAAAAGTGTGTGAAGGGGCACCTAGGTGGCTCATTCAGTTAAGCGTCCGACTCTTGATTTCAGTTCTCACAGTTCATGGGATCGATGCCAAACTCTTCCTGCAAGCTGGGGGTGAAGAGAGCTATGGCTCGGGGATACTTGATTGTCTCCAGGCGGCAAAATTGTGCCGTTCTCTCCAGCACTCCGTGTGTCTGATCAGTATTGTCAACAGTCATAAGAAAGCTCATATCACAAACTTGTTTGGTTATGTTCAGCTGTTGTTGTCTTTTTCTTCCTTCCCAAATTGAGCCTGCTCTGAATAATCCAGGATGGGGGTTGTAGTGGCAGGGCACAAGCCACAGTGTAAGAAGCCTGTATTCTTGACGAAGCAGACATCCAATATTGTCCAGTGAGTACAGCGCACGGAGGTAAATCAGTCACACGAGTGACTGTCCGATGGGAGGGCTGAATGCACGAGTAATAGCCACCTTGTTCTGAGCTCCTAGGTTGTGTTGGGCACTCAGCTGTATGCTGAACATACAAATGACAGCAACATGCCTTTTACCCTCCAGAAGGTTCCAATGCAGCAGTAAGGTCACAGCCTAAATAATTCTAATACAAAGTCAGTGGTGATGGTTAAGAGAGAGTCAAAGAGCAAAGAGAGTGTGGAGAAGAGAGGGCTCATTTCAAATAGACTAATTGCTAAAAATCTCATCCATTGGTTTTCTCTGCAGTTTCCCTGTTCATATCCTGACCATCTTGAAGTGGAGGCACATAAAATGAAGTCTTTCATGTGAAATGCTGGTTGCGTTCCTTTTGAACGTGCATTACAAGTGCCTCTTTGGATCCTATGAGGGCTCTGTATATTGAATTTGTTTTACATAAGCTCAGTGAGTGATGGAAGCTAAGAGAAACAGCGTGTCAAACAGCACTGAAGAGAGGGGAAATAAAGCAGCTTAACTCGTTACAGTTGAATAACAGAGATTGTAAGAGATTTTGTACCTTTTAATTGTAAGAAATAAAAAGTTTCGTTTTTATCAATTAGATAAAAAGATTATAGAACCTACTTTAAGCAGAAATCTCCAAATGACATGTCAACTGACAGTTCAATCAAGATTATAAAGATTATTTCTAAGGCATAGCTGTCATGCCATCTTTGTGCTTTTTTACAAATAATCCATCAGTATTTGTTTGAATGTCATGTTTATGCATAGAAATTTGCTGTACCGGTTTCCCATCAGACGTGAAAATCACCTCGGTCAAGATGGGCAGAAGATGGTTTCAAGTGCAACAGGAGGGTGGAACTTTGTAGGTTGGACACTGGCTCATTGTCCCTTCCTTAGGACCATGATTAGTTAATCGCTACACACACAAAATGTTGTTGGTTTTTTAAAAATTTTTAAATAGTGAAGCTTGCACGATATAGTAGATCTTGTTTTGTGAGGGGAAAGGAGAAACAGGAAACTCTCCTCTCCTCCAGAGTGAAAAGCCAGGGGTACTTTTCTGATGTGTTTCCCTCATTTAGGAGTAGTTGCTTAAAAGCCAACTCACCCCCCAGAGGGTTGTAGGACACTGTTCCCCATTGATTAAGAGACATGTGCACACCTCATTCTGTTTAAAAATATGTATTGAGCATCATCATACCTGAAGACACTGTGGTAACTCCCTCTCCCCCTCCGTATCATAGAGGTGTGTTTGTATGTGTGTGTTTACATATGTGTTTATATGTGTGTGATTATATGTGTGTGCGTGTGTGTGTGTCCCATTCATTTCCCCTTCTCTACAGGGACCCAACTTATTAGTCTTCTCATTTCTCAATATCTTACACATTTTTTAAAGATTTTATTTGTAAGTAATCTCTACACCCAACGTGGGGTTCAAACTCACAACCCCAAGATCAAGAGTGGCATACTTTACTGACTGAGCCAGCCAGGCACCCCACAATATCCTATACATTCTAATATAGCAGCCAGTTAGTAAGTTGTTTTTTTTTTTTTTTTAATTTTGGAGGAGAGTGGACTAGAATCAAAGAAAAACGAGAATAAAGGGTACTGCTTAGATTAATATTCACAACTATAATGTTGACCGATTGATAATTCATGATCTTTCCCAGGTTGCCCTGTCTGTTCATTGATTACCACTGAAAATAGGCTGATCATTACGAAGTGTATTTGTGAATGAGGAGGCAATCTGCCCTCACCATAAAGCTACTCAAGGGCAAGACTGAGCATTCATTGGAAGAGGGCAAAAGACTTCAGACTAGGGTGGACAGAGCTACCCTCGGGCACTTTCAAGACTACATTCCATCGTTCTCTCTTTGGAAAAACAACCTCTTCAGAGTATAGGTGCAAGATTTAAAACACACAGGCACACTGCATCCAGCATTCTTCTGGCCAAAGAGGTCTGATTGGGATTTTTGACAAGCCTATTACTCTAACAGCCTCAAAGCCTGACCTGGTGAAAACCATTTCAAGGAGGGATGGTCTAAAACTGCTCTGTCACAAAGGCCGTCCTTCTCGTTTAGAGTAATACCAGCAAAGCTCTCACCACTTCTTCCTGCAGAAATTTTGGCTCTTCCTCCCTCTCCGAGATCCTGTCAGAAGTGAGGGTTGGCCACCCCAAGGGGGAGTCCTGACACTTTACCTAAAAATGCTGTCACTATTTGCCTAGTTATATTATCGGAGGAACTGAGAAATTTTGTTTATATTTTAAGATGAGCAAATGCCAAAAATACTAATTTGAATCGAATAACCTTTCCCAGTCTTAGATTGAAACGCGGAGAGATCCTCCGCATTTAAACACATTAAACACATCCTCCAGAACCTTCTAGATATCGAAGAAAACATTTATGTTCAATAGCATTTTAGCCATTGGCATTTTAGTGTCGGCCCTATTTTATTTTCGTTCCTAGAAAAAGTAGTATATCCATGTTGTACATCAAGCCTGAAGGCCTTGCCTTCCTCTCCTCATAGACTGGGTTCAATCCCAGCCCCTTCATTAACTCCTCCCTCTGTGGCCTTGGGCAGCTCTCTCAGGGTTCTCATCTGTAAAACAGAATGAAAAGTAACCTTGAAGGACATTTTGAAAATGAAATGGGAATGCCTGCGTCAGTTACAACGTGGGCATGAGATTCATCCTATTCGGTGCCTCCTGCGGGCTCTGTCCAGGGCCACAGATTCTTGGGATGTGCCATGTGGCAGCCATCAGCAGTCAGCAGAGAGGGTGCCCTTCCCAATCAGACCCTCTCTCTAGAGCCAGAGTCAGCGCGGTGGTTCTCAACTTTGGTGTCACCAAATAGGAAGTTATCTGATACCACCCAAGACTCCAGAGTGGGGCCCAACAGTCTCCTCCGGGTGATTCTGATATTAGCCGAGTTTGAGAGCCACTGGCCCACTGGGATCATTCTCGAGAGATCACTCTTCCCATGGTCGCTAAATTCCCTCAGTTCCTTTATACCTTCCCTTAACTCACCTCCAGCATCCCTCCAACAGGCTGTGTTGTCCATGACTTGCCACAGAAGTTCTCTGCCTGAACCAAATCCTAACCAGGGGTAGGAGAGGAAGAATGTACTCTCAGGTGGTGGAGTCACTAAAAGCACCCCAAAGATTCACCCTTGACTGAGCTTTTCTCATGTCTTTTGTAGAAGTGGAAGATCTCACTGCTTCCCAGCTGCCTGTTCCCTGACCATCTGCCCCTTCTGTTGGCTTAAGCTCAGCTTGTGCTGGTACAGGAAGGAACTTGGGCCACGCCTGCCCATAAAAGGTGCCCATGAGCATCCCGGTGATTAAATTTTCACAGAACCCCCTACCTATGCGCCTAGAATAAATTTCTAGAAGTTGACTTCTGGTAGGGCCAACGTAGGTATATTTTTGAAGCAGGTGAAATTAGATCTCTAAAATACTTCAGTAAGTCAGAAGCTCCGTCTTTGAAAAACGCTCTCGCAAATTTCTCAAAGAAGAGGCCTTTGAATCACAGAGCTTGATTCCCTTGTCCGCTGTCAGTGAAGTAAACCTTAAAGACTTTCCAAGAGCCCCCATTCTCCGCGGCCACGGGACCCTCACAGATGACATGTTCAGAACTCTGAGTCTCCTTTGCACAAGTTACGATGCAGATACCTATGACTTACCCAGTTCTACGATGTATTTGTGGAAACCATCCCTACTATTTAAAACCGTGTTCTCGGTAAACATTCTGGAGTTGCGCGTGGGAGAAGGGTTCTTTTGGGGACCACAGGGAGGTAGCTGACGTGCCCTTTTGCTTTTGCAGGAATGTTAGTTCAGCCGGAGAGGAGGCCCGCAGGAGGATGCGGGAATGCGACGGGCTCACAGATGCACTGCTGTACGTGATCCAGTCTGCACTGGGGAGCAGTGAGATCGACAGCAAGGTTTGTTGTGTTTGCATAGATTAAACATCTTAGTCAATAAAGATGCCCAAGGGACTAAGCAACGGCTAACAACAACGGAGAGCTAATGCTGTGCCTAATACCTTCACTCTGAAATCTATCGTGGTCTCCCCGTAGGACTCCTACATTTTCTTGATGGCTTCTAATAATCCTAGCCTAGAACTAGACACCTAAGTCTCAATAACGAATAAATAAAAAACGTGGATTGTTTTAAGTTAGTCAGACCGGATGAGTGTATCAACTTTTCCATGCTACATTACCCACAAGCTTCCAGTTTAATTTTTTTGAAATCTGCTTTTAAAAGAAAGAGACCTATTAAAACTACCTGAGCTTCGAATAACTCTATATTCTTAGCAGTTAGCTTTTTACAAATGTTAGTTGTTCAAATGCCATTTTAAAAGTACCTGATGAAGGGGCACCTGGGTGGCTCAGCTGGTTAAGTGTCAGACTGTGGCTCAGGTCCTGATCTCCTGGTTTGTGGGTTCGAGCCCCGTGTCAGGCTCTGTGCTGACAGCTCAGAGCCTGGAGCCTGCTTCAGATTCTGTGTCTCCCTCTCTTTTTGCCCCGCCCCCTCCCCACACCCACTCTGTCTCTCTCTCTCAAACATAAACATTAAAAATTTTTTTTAATTTTTTAAAAAAGTGCCCAATGAAGGTAAGTAACTGCTTTAAAAATGCTAAATAAACGAGGCTGGTGATATGTGAATCATCAGAGTCTCTTCAGTGTTTGAGTTCACAAACCAAAATAGAGTCGGGTGGGCTTTTCCAGTGTTGGAGGTATTTTGTTTCACCTCAGTTTGTCTTTTGATTAGTTTCGATTCATTCTGAACATAAAACTGCAAAGTAATAATGTCCTGATGTAAACACAGACTCTAATGATGCTTTTAAAGTAGTCCGTGTGACAAATGTAAACACAGACTCTACTGATGAGTCCATGTGACAAATGCGAGACCGTAACGAGAACTTCTCTAGAGCCACACCATGGACATTTGGGGCTGGATAATTCAGTGTTTGGGGGCCACCCCGTGCATTGTAGGATGTTGAGCATCATTCCTGGGCTCTACCCCTAGATGCCAGCAGCTTCATAGCTGGGACAAACCAAAATGTCCCCAAGATATTGCCAGATGTCCCACAGAGGGAGCAAAATTGGTCCTGGTCCTTAATCCCATGGCTTTTAATGCCAGCTCTTCGTTAGAATTAGGACTGCTTAGGAAATACGTGTGCCTAGACCCCATCACAGCCCTCTGACTCTGAACGTCTACCTCTGATCTCAGATTTTTGTTCCTTAGAAGTTCATCAGGTGATTCGACGTGTGGCCTGGACTGAGAGCCCACCTTAGTAGATACAGCTCTGACAAGGACTCTCATCAGAAACACGATGTAATGTAATTTAGTTGTAAAGTCACATAAAGAACAGGTACGAGTGGTTTGATCCCTTTGGTTACCAGCTGGCGTGGGGAATGACCTAGTGAGGGGTTCTCAACCTTGACTGCACAGTGGAGCCACTGAGAAATGTAGGAAATTGCTGATACCTGAGACCTACTCCCTGTGGTGGAGGCATGATCTGCCTTCTGGGATTCCCATCCTTTGAGGACTAGTTTACCGCAGTTGTGCACACAGTTTGTCATCTGATCGCCGCCACTGACTTATGCTTGCATCCATCAGCTTACCGTGAAGTGCTCGTCAGTTTCGAAATGGAGTATGATGGACTCTAGATGTAATCAACCCCTTTCGTAAACACTGTTAACGGCCATTTTAGAACTTTTAATATTGTTGATAGGAAAACGAAGTCCCTAAAAACGTGACCAGTCAAGATGTCTTGAGGATTTACAGATGTCTGTTAACACAATAGGCGATTTTTAAAAGAGCTGCCAAAGGAAATTCACTAAGGCTTCAGTGCAGCGGGTCTTAACGTTCAGAGCAGAAAAGGCTACAGCATCGGGACGCTGAGCCTCTTACTGTAACGGATGCCAAAAGAGCTTAATGTTGTCTCGGCCTTGCAGTTGAAAATAAGGGTCAACAGCCCCTTGCTTTGGCCAACCGCCCATGCCCACGCTGGTGGGAAGGTAGTCTGTAGCAGCATGGCCCCAAAACGAAGTGCTGTGAGGCCCCACCCCTTTCTCCTGACGTGTCAGACTCCTGGGAGACATTGGAGATCACCTCTTTTAATGTCCACATTCTCTTCAAAAGAGGCACCTAGAATCCCTGGGAGTATTAAAGGCGGGAATCATAAGACGCGGCTATTTCTGATGCAGCAGCTAGAGCACCAGGCTTGGGTAGATTTGCCCCCACCCTCCTGCTGATTATAGAATTGTACCTGGGCACCCTGACTTTGTGACAAGGAAGATCGCCGTAGCTTCTGAAAGGATCAGACTCCACAAGTTACTTAGCAGTGTTTTGCCAGCCAGAACGTGCCAGAGAGTTCTAACGTATTATGGTCCCACAGTGTGCCACTCAGCCCTCTGTCTGGTCACCTCTGAGCTTTCACAGTGACAGGATAGAGGAGGGAGGTGAGTGCACATTCTCTTTACGGCCAGCAAAGCTAATGGCATCCTAGAGCCTGGAATCCACACAAGCTCTCAGCTCGGCTCCTGTGACCGGGACAGTTTGTTGAATGGGTAACATATGGTTCAGCAGTCTATGGACAACTTCCAAATTAGCCCTTTGCCATAGAAAATAAGGCGTCAAAATGACCCTGGTGACCACGAGGAGCCGCTAGAAGCGCTGTTGACAGCAGTGCATGTCAAGAGCAGCGCCACCAGCTGCCACATGCCTTCTGCTGGCGTCCCAAAGAAGGACGGTGGCTGCTTGTTTTTCTGTCCCCTATCCCCCTCCTTTCGAGGAAAGAGCTTGAATGGGTGGCCCTCCCACACCAAGCTGAGCTAGAGGGATGAGTTCAGCCTCTGTGTCTCCCTCGCCCCATCTTTTCCTCTGCACCCCCACCCCTCCGTCAACCCCACTTTCTCCCTGCCTCCAGCTTCTCCCAAACCATCCCCCAGCCACAGGTAGATCATAAAGCATTTCTCAAAACTGTGGCTGTGTTCCCCAGTAGTCATTTGTTAAACAGAGGCACGAAGATGCCCCCAGGGAACATGAGCAGCAGGATGAGAAAGAAGTTGATTCTCCCAAGCCTTTGATGTAAGGAAAAAATCAGTTTGAGCTGATTTAAAAATCGTTCTGACTTATGCCATAACATTTCCCTTTCAGGGAGAGACTTTTCTCTCTTTCATGCATCATCCTGTGTTTACCTGCTTTCATGCCGGTTCCTTTTTTTGATGCTGAGAGGATGCTTGAAATAGAAAATCAAGTTGGCTTAAAGCCTGTGGGATTAGCAGCCGTGAAACCTTGAAAAGCTGACAAGAAAGGTCTAGAATGGAGCAAAGGCTCCCGAGATACATTCTGAAAACCAGTTTTCCTGGTTGATTGTCACACACCCAGTAGTCAAGTCAAAGATGCATGCTTCCTTTAACCAGATCCCCGTCGTGGGAGGGGAGCACTTAGCCCCATCCCTTCCAGGCTGGGCCCAGGACTGGGAAGACGTGGCCCAATCTGCTGTGAGTCCCCGACGACTACAGGTCTCGTCCCTCTCATCTGTGAAATGGAACCACGTTCCCTGCCTTGAATGCTGGTGCACACAGCAGGTGCCTGAGAAACCATAGCCAAATTGGCATGCTTTTAAAAATAAAACTTAGCTCAGTTCAGTTTTTTTCCCACCATTATTTTTTGAATTGGGTGCATTTTTCTTCTTCCCACTGTTCATCAAATTTGGAACAAAGGTCAAAAGGTCAGTGCAATGGACTGAGTGTATGTGTCCTCCCAAATTCATGTGTGAAACCTGTTCTCCAAGGTGATGATCTTTGGCAGGAAGGGTCTTTGGGAGGAAATGGAAACACAGAGAGATTAAGCACTTTGCCCAAGGTCACACAGCCCATGAAATGGCAGAGCCAGGGCTCAAACCTAGACTGGCGGCTCTGGGTCCCATGCTCTGGACTCCCAAGCGTGCTGTGTGCATCATTGTTCATGGTATGAACTCTCATACAGCATTCTCCGTGGGCAGGCACTATCTTCAGTACGTACACACTAGGTTTCCCACTGTTGCTGGAATAGATCACCACAAACACGGTGGCTGGAAACAATGCATACTTATTATCTCACCGTTTCACAGGCCAGGAGTCCCAAATGGGTGTTGTTGGGCTAAAATAAAAGTGTCGCCAGGGCCGCATTCCTTCTGGAGGCGCCAGGGAGAGTCCAATTCCTCGTCTTTTCCAGCTTCTACAGGTGCCCACATTCCCTGGCTTGTGGCCCCTTCCTCCATTTTCACAGGCAGCAAGGAGAGGTCACGCCTTTTCACACCTGTTCTGCACCCTCCCTCGCTTCTAAGACCCTCATGGTTACATGGGCCCCCCAGGATAATCCGGGACAATCTCCCTAACAGAAGGCCGGCTGATTAATTCTGTCTGCCGCCTCCATTCCCCTTGGCCTCGGAACCCAACATATTCAGAGCTTCCAGAGATTAATGCAGACATCGTGGCAGGGGAGGCATTCAGCCTACCGCACACACATACTCTAGCTCATCTGATCCTCACAGCAAGCTAAGACGTGGGTACCATTCCGAGCATCTGACAGAGGAGGGAATTGACTCAGAGAGATGTTGGGCGTATCGTCCCAAGTCACAAGGCAGCAGAGACCAAGGGCCCTAAGGTGTTCAGCTGCACCCGTGTCCTCAAGCACCGTCGAATGCCTATGCTAAGGAAACAGGAGCACCAGCCACCTCAAAACGAAGCAGTAGCATGGGAACATTTATGCCCCCAGCGGATCCCAGCACATGGCTTGTCTAGGACCCCCCCAGCTTTATATCTCCTACCTCATTTTACTACCAGAAAGGGCCCTGGTGGATGGCAGATAGTAGTTAGTGTCTCCCTCCCGGAGTGATGGAAACGTGAGTATCCATATTCTCGGTGATGCCGAGCCCTGGTCCCCAGAGGGGAGTGGCCTGTGAGCGGGCCACCATCCGAGACCTCTGGCGATTGTGGATTCTTCCCCACTCATTAGTGAGCTTCAGCCAACAATGGCAGCTGCTTACATAACCATAAGAGACTCTTAAATACAGAGAACAAACTGAGAGTTGATGGGGGCAGGGGAAATGGGTGATGGGCATTGAGGAGGACACTTGTTGGGGTGAGCACTGGGTTGTATGTAAGTGTTGCATCACGGGAATCTAGTCCTGAAGCCAAGACTACACTGTATGTTAGCCAACTTGCCAACTTAAAAAAACAAAAACAAAAACAACCACACTGACAGCTGCTTATAAAAGGAGCTACTTTGGATAAGGAAAGGTTTCAGGACCTTCTCGCGCTTCTCTGAATTCTTTCCACTGCGACCATCAAGGGCGCCTTTAGGAGCCAACAGCTAAATGTATCCAGAAAGGATCAGGAATATGGAAATGACTCGCTTTCCTGGGTGGAGGAGGGATGCTGGTTAGTTTTTATTCATTCCTCCTTTGTTTCTTTTCCTTTCCTTTCTTTTTTGTTTGTTTGTTTGTTTGTTTGTTTTGGGTTCTCCAGACCGTTGAAAACTGTGTGTGCATCTTAAGGAACCTGTCATACCGGCTAGCAGCAGAAACGTCTCAGGGACAGCACATGGGCACAGATGAGCTGGACGGGCTTCTCTGTGGTGAGGCCAACGGCAAAGATGCAGAGAGTTCCGGGTGCTGGGGCAAGAAGAAGAAGAAAAAGAAATCCCAGGATCAGGTAATGCGGGCGACTCTGCAGCTCCACACAATTATCCCCTCCCCTAATTACAACATTAATATTTCTTCTGCGTGTACACGTACGGGGCTCTGTACTTTCAACGCAGGCTAAAATCATTAACACATCTGCACAGTGTTCCCGTGGGGGGGGGGGGTCTGACAGGGGGACATCGAATGACTTCCCCCACATCCTGCAGCCCAGTCAACATAGGAACTTTGCCAAAGAGAGTCATGTCAGTCCCAGGCAGGCTCTGAGGTAGCAGCTTGGAGAGTCCAACCCGGGCACTGATTCTTCTGTGTGTTGATTCGTACCTCGATGGAGGTCCTGGCCAGGGACAGGAGGGTGCTTTGCAGGTGTTCCACAGGTACACTGTAGGTGTGATCTAGGAAGAGAAGCTAAGCAGCCAACACATATTTTACTGCATGTTTTGAAACGTTTTGATATGTGATCTTGCATTTATTGTTAGAAATGGGGGCTCAGATTCCCAGTTCTCCAACAGAATGGCATTGGAAGCTTGGCCTTGGGGGACAATTCTGATAAATTCAGAAAGCTGAGCAGCTGGAGAGGTGTCTCCAAAATGATGGACTTTACCTTGGGCGGCTGTAAGTAGGCTGCCTGCACTGGGGTAATGGCCAATAGGAAGCCACTCTTGGCCTTGATGGAATCAAGATAGTCTCCAGCCTTTTCTCCCGGAGCCTCTGGAAGACGGAACCCTCACCCATCGGCCCCCCACCAGCTGAGGGAGTAGCGTGAGTCGTAGCTGCGGCCAGAAACCCCTACTACTGAGGTTTCTTCATCTCTCCTGGACAGTGATCATGAGTCCAGCCTTCCCCTGGACACTGTGGTCATATCCCAGCTGCTAACGGTCATACAGACCCAAGATCTGACTGTCTTCAAGAGTGAACAACTAAGAGAGCAGGACAGAACTCCCAACACTGTCTCTTAGCAGGTTTTAATTCAAAATAAATATGCAAAAGTATCTGTTTAGATCAGAGCCCATCATTTTTTAAAGTGTTCTCAAAATCATTTTGCTTTGAGTAAGGGTTATAGGCGCTATTTTGTTTGGAGGAAGGATTCATGGGAATGCATTCTTAAACATCATTCCTAAATTTAACTTGAATGCATCAGTGTTCACATGTTTTAGGTTCTAGTTCTCTTGCTCTTTGTGGCCCCTGGGGGCCGCTCCAGACACATCTGCAGCCTCTAGGTCTGTACATTCCGGCATAAACACACCTGTAACCTAAAAATACGTGCTTCTGGCCTTTTCGATGGTGATCTGCTGCTCTGAGACGCTCCCAACCCTGCTTTCTCTCCTGTGCTCTGTGTCCACCTTCTCCCTGAACTGCAGGAGCCTTTTAAGAGGATTGAGCCATACTTCTTAAAATCTCCCCTCAGGGGAATGCAGTGGTTAGCTAGCAGGTGTTTATTGAACTGTGCCAGGAATTATGCCAAATAGTATTGGATACCTCAGTTTTCCAACCCAGTACTTAAGGGGGCCAGACCATAATGCTTCTGACCCTTTCCATTATCGTACAAGCGAAACATGGCCTAACAAAGGTATAATGGGTCCTTCTCATGCTTTCCTTCTGCAATACTGTATACCATGTGGCCCTGTCCCTTTACTGCTTTATCCTGGAAAGTGAATGAGCATAATAAAGGTTGAAAAGAAGAATGGCATATGGGCAGGAATGTGGTGCTTGCCAATCTGTCAAGTGATCGTAATCCCCCAGGTCTTACCCACCACCTACAGACTCGGAACCTCCTGGATGGGCCCAGGCAACTTTGGAAGGCAGATTTGGGAAATTGTACTAATGCATGAGCCTTGGTGTAAAAAACAAAAACAAAAAACTTTGAACTGAGATTGAATTCACTCTGATTCCAAGGTTTTGTCTTCAGTCCTTTTTTGGATTCTGAACCATCCTTCTGATGGTCCCTGCATCTGTCACTGGTGTCCCGTTAGTAAGAGTTGGCCTCAGACCCTGAACCCTTTTTCTAACGCTGCCAATGTGTGCTCACGTGGCTTGAAGCCTTTCAAGTGACAGGTGATATTAGGCATTGATTGGGTCCAGAGAGTTCAGGAGTCAGAAGAAAATATTCACGGACTTCACCCCCAACCACATCCCTCCTTTCACGTTGTGAGCTGCGTCATGGAACCTTATGATGAGCAATTTCCCACCTTAGAATGTTGTACTTCGAACCATATTTTACAACATCAATGAGCCATTTTCTAAGTTCAGTAAGATGAAGAGATTAAAGCACTTTTATCATTTTTGCCAAAAGTCTAAGTGAAAATTTATAAGGGTCATTTGTCCCATCTTTTTCTCACAATATTTTCAAGGAGACAAAAAGGATTTCTTTAAGAAAGTTTTGCTGAAGCAGCCATGTTAGAATACAGAACATTGTTGCTTATAAAGAAACATCAAAGCCATGGTTTCAGTCAAGTGATAGTTACGTAAAAGACTTTGAACTGTGCTCTCACGTAATAAAAGTATCTTATGAAACATTTTAGTGAGGGTGTAAACAGATAATAATTATGGTTGTTTGAAAGTCATTTAGGATGTTTTGTCAAGTTCAGTCAAAAGTAGAAAAAAACAGTCAAAAGTAGGAGCCATCTTGCATTGAAAACGGATGGAAGGGAGGCACAGCTGAAAGGTCTGGAGATGGGGAGGAGAGCACCAGCATCTGGCATGAAGAAGAGGGATAGATAGGAAGACGCCCTCACATCCAGTTGGCCCCCAGCCTGGTGACTGGTCCCCAGGAGAGAACTGAGTCTAGATGGCGCCACCTGCTGGGAAGGATGGGCATATGCACCAGTCTGGGTCTCAACAGAGAAACCTTGCTTCTTGAGGAATGTGCTTTGCACTTGGGGAAACCAGGCAGCCATTCCAAGTTGTCTAAAGGAATTAAAAGCCAGCTGCCTCCAGTGAGAGGAGGAACCAAGGCCCTAATTCATCACTGTTAACTGGTTGCCGCAAGGTGAGAAATGGAAATGTCCTCGGGTCTGTCTAGGACAAAGCATCCCCATCCTTGCTAACACCAGAACAGAAGGTTACCTTCAGAGCCTGCAGACTGGCGTAACTCATCTAGAAGCTTCCAGAAGGTTGTAGGTTTACAGCTTTAATGATTGTCAGATATCCAGTCTCTGGAATCTGTTGCTCATGAAGTCAGGTTTTCAAAGACTATGTAGTGACAAGAGAGCATATGGAATACAAAGTGGAGGAAAATGATATAAAAATGGGAGTGTATATAGAGATACGTATGATGTTGATAAAACCTGGCCAGGTTTGCAAAAGGTGTATCACATACAAATATAAAATACATATGTATATATTTTTATTATTTATATATAATATATTCATTATTATATGTTTATATATATTTGTATTTGTATATATACATGTATGTATTTCTAGGGAAAGTACAGTAACATCAAAGACAAAGGCTACTGATTGTTTCGTACTTTTGTATTTACAAATTTTCGAACAGGCATTACATTTATAATCTTTTCAAATGCCATCTAGAAAATAATATTTTGAAAAGCATGAAGTGATTAAGTCAGTGTTTGCTTATAAGAATGTATTTGTTTTCCTTCTTCCATTTAAGACACCAGAGAAAGGTACAAGGAAAGTTTGTCTAATCCGCAACAGACACTGCCCAGGACAGAGAAACCAGAGATTTTACGAGGAAGCCAAAGTGATAAAAATCATAATTGGTTTAATGATTGCCTCTGGGGCTTTGCTATATCCCAGAATTTTATGTTGATCTTACCTCTGGCATTGTTATTCTATACCTTAGGAAAATTCTCTGACACTATGAAGGTCAGATTTAGTTATAATAAAAAAATCTCAGAAACTTTATCCTTCAGATACTTAATTGAAATAATTCAAGAAGATGTAGGGTACAAAGATATGCTTCATTCATGCTCTTCTTTCAAGAAATGGCTGCTGTTGAATCATACTGGAACCATCACACCATGAGCCCCTGAGGGTAGAAGTAGTTAATATTTCTGGGCATCATATTCTGGTCCAAAAAGGCTTTGCAAATGTATTAATTTCTGACTCCGGGTTCAGTGCCTATTGCCAGATTATAAGAAATTGATGGTCTCTCTAGCCCTTTTCGGGCAGAACCCTACCCCCGCCCCACCAAACAATGTACACATCACGTGCCCAAAGGCACATGTCACCTGGCAGGGGCTCCACCTTCTCCAGCAGGGCTCTGTGCCAGCAGCTGGGCACGGTGGGGCAGGACGGGCAATCCAGAGATTGGGATCCAGGGAAATGCAAGTAGACAAAATCGGTGTATTTACTTTCCCACCTTTTGTAGAAATAAGCATCTTTTGTTTTCCAGTTTGGGAGATGGCCAAGCTTCCTGGGATGATGTCCGGGGGTTAGTGGTACTCGAAAATGGACTTGAAGTCACAGGATACCGCTGGCTGCTGGCCAGAGCAGACCTGAGGCTTCAAGACCCCACTCAGTGTGAACTTGACAGTGCAGAGAAACCGCTGAGGGGGAAGAAAACAAAACCAAAAACAAAAAAAAACAAGACAAGCAAGATGACCTAGAACTCAAAACTTCTCCCTTCTGTTGGAATATCCCTTGTGAATGTTTTATTCACGTGGATATAGATGTATCCACGTGGGTGAGGACATAGACCTCTGACAATTCAAAGACGATTCTGAGCCTCTTCTCGCGTGCTCATGTTCCCTCTCCCGGCCATCTTTGTTTCACGGTCTAGTGCGCTGTGGTCAATTTAAGCTCCTGTTCACTTCTTTCTTACGCCGTAGATGTCAAATGCATGGGCCAGCGGGAAGTTTCACTGATGATACCACCAAGCTGTTTCGTACGCCAAAGCGATAGTAATGGGATTCCATGTAAAATCTTGAATGCCTTCTTTTGTTCCCCATGACGATGGGCATGTCTTGGAGGAACCTCCAGGAGCTCCCACCTACCCATCCTTTGTCCCACAGGCCAGCCTCTAACCTTTCGCTCGTGTTCCTCCTC